AGCTGAGATTAGGAAGAAGGAACAAGAAAGGCGAATGGAAAGAAAAATTCAGAAAGAGCGTGAAATGGAAGGAGGAGAGTTTGCAGACAAAGAGGCCTTTGTGACTTCAGCCTATAAGAAGAAGCTGCAAGAAAGAGCTGAGGAGGAGGAGAGAGAAAGAAGAGAATCAGCTCTCGAGGGTGAGATTCATAGTGAAATAATTGTCCTGAAAAAGAAGTAGGGCCTTGTTCATGATGTACAATATATTCATCTGGTGGTCTCCATGTGATGCTTGAGATAATTAAAATCAAAGAGGACCAGATTAGCTGATCCTGAATCAGATCAACCTTGGTCTGTTACTTTCCTCTGCACGTGTTACAGATGGAACAGAGGAAGCTCCTCTGTTTGTGTGTCAGTACTGTTTGGGTGGGTGCTTTATTTTTTGAGGGAGGGTCAGTTGTTGAAGGAAGACTCGTAAGCCTGGGGTACAGTGATGTTTCCAGTCCTTACCTCAGACATTCTGGTCAGGATCAGGAGTAGATGTGAAGCACAGGATGTAGGATCATTAGCTAGATTGGGGACCTCTGAAGGTCACCTGTTCCAGCTGCCTGCTCCAAGCATGGCCTGCTGTGAGGCCAAATCAGGTTACTCTGAGTTTTTTCCACTTCGGATTTGAAACCTCCAGGATGGAAATTGCAGTTGTGGTGGTGTGTACCAGTTGTGTGTGACAAGTATTTGTGGCACAGTAAACCCAACCTCCCTTCCTTTCTCTCAGCATACCTGGATGTGACCAAACAGAAGGATCTCAGTGGATTCTACAGACATCTTTTAAACCAGCGTGTGGGGGAAGAAGAGATGCCTAAATGCAGCTTCCGTGAAGCCAGGTAGGATGTGATTCCAGCAGGGTTTCAGGTATGGAAACCAGCACCTGGTTGTTTGTGCTTCTGTATTCACTGGAAGATTGGACAGAGCACTAAAACAGTGGTAAGGTAAACTGGAAATTTCATACAGCTGGTTAACTGAATTATTTGGTAAATAACTAATGATCATCAGTGACACAGAAATGAAACAAGCAGGGTAGTGATGCTGTCTGAAAGGTATCAAGAGGACAGTTATGATTGTAATCGTGCTTGGTATTATTCTAACCTACATTTTCTTTGGTTTACGTAATATTTAGCAATCTGTATAAGTTACACATTTTTAATCATGAGGAAGACAAGAGATAAAATAGTGAACATAGCAGTAAGTCATAGGAAATGAATATGCTCTGAATTTCCTGTAAAGAATGTGTCTCTTCACTTTGTACTTACTCCACATTTAGTTGCATAAAACTGAGTGTTGATACTGTGGTAAAAGGATATGAATCAAATATATACGAAATCCAGTGGGAGTCTTTTGCATATGTGAACATTCCAAAGCAAAGTAATGAGATGAGACTGAATTATTTAGGTGTTTAAAATGGTAACATTCTGCCCTGTGGGTAAATGTGATGAAGGGGATATTTTTTGTATGCAGCAATTGATAATTAGAGACAATTAACTCAGGTTAAACCTCGTTTGATAGAGGTTTAAAGCATGGATGTCACTAGTTAAGTGTTTGCTATCACAAATAAAATGCAGCTTTCATCAAGAGATCTTCTAGATCTGAGATTGTATTGTTAGAAAGCAAATACTTAGCCCAAGTGGAGAAAGTGATCACTGAAGTTTCTCAGCTGCCACAAGGAAAGGAGTTCTCCATGAAGTCTTCAGGATGATGTGATTTTGTACTGTATAGAGAGCATTTGAAATGATGTTACAAATTAAGGAAACTTCCTTTAGTGACACATACAATTAATTCAAGGGAAACAGTCCTGTAGATGGTGTTTCCAGCAAGGCTTTCAAAAGCCTTATATTAATTTTGTTCTTATTCATGGTGATGCAGCAGGATACAGAGAGGAAACAGCTCCATTTTTAGATCTCAGAAGTGTCCCTAAAGTGAGTCCCACCTTTGAGTTGGATTACTAGGTAAATTACCAAGCTTTTCAGTGTAGTTTTTAGTTGTTGTTCATAGGCTGTCCATGCCTTCAAGCATTCAGCAGACACAGAGTCTCACTGGGGGTGTGCTGACTCATGAGAGAGCCCCACAGGCTGTTCCTGGAGCTCTGTGATTAAATGGAAGAGACGTGGCTTGTGTGAGTGAACATGGATTTCCTCATCAGTCAGAAGAGAGTGGCAAAGCATAACTCCCTCCATGGGTCAACATTTTGCATGTAAGAATATTTGAGCTGTAAAAAGTTACTAATTTCTGTCTAGCCACAAGTGAGATCTTCAGAAATACTGATCAAAAGAACACATTCCTCTCTCTGTCCACAAAACACACAACCTGCTTCTTCCCTGGATAATTATTTGATGTGAACAGAGGACCAGACACATAGGAAAACCTGTAACTTGCCAGCAGGCTTACACAGGAACACAAATCAGTGGTTTTTTTCCTCACATGGAGGCTGCACATACTTCACCATAGCCAGACTCTTTTAGATAAATTCCTCAGCTCACATTCACCAGTGAGCCAGATATGGATACTTTGTGCTGGAATCCTGGAACCTGAGCCACAGACAGATTTGCTTTCTTAGACTTTTCAGCAGCATCTTTTGCCTAAGTCCTGACCAGAAGTCAGTTTGTAGAAAAGTCCAAGATTTCAGGCTTTTTAATGTTGTTATTCTTTTCTAATGTCAAAAATGTAGGATAAAGGAAGAAAAACCTGACAGCCAGGATGAAGCCAACGAAAGGAACAAATGCCCGTTGGAAAGTCAAAGAGTGAAACCCTCTAAGAAAGAAAATAATCCAGATGCTGATACCGACCTAGGAACTGATAGTAGTGATGATGACAAGAGACACAAGCATAGTAAAGTGAATTTGAAAAAGAAGAAAAGAAGGGAGAACTCTGTGAGCAGTGAAGAGGAGGTTAAACATCACAAAAGCCAGAGGCATTCCAGGTCACCAAGCTCATCCAGTGGGGAGGAAGAGCCACGCACCAAAGCCCAAACAAGTCACCAGAGGGGAGAGAGCAGGCCAAGCAGAAGGGGGAGTGATGAACAGTACAGGGAAAAGGATTATGAGAGAAGTAGAACCCATGAAAAGGATCACCAGAGGGAAAGGGAAGAGCGACACAGGCATGGGGATCACACTAGTAGAGATCACTACAGGAGGAGGGAAGATCAAGATGATAAACAAAGGGGGAAGGAAAGAAAAGAGAGGGAGGGGCATAGCAGAGAATGGAGGAGGGCAAAGGAGAGAGAGGAGAAGGGCTCAGAGAAGGAACGAGAGAGAGAAAGAACCAGAAATGATAAAGATAGATATGACAGAGAGAAGGAGAGAGGAGAAAAATACAGAGAAAGGGAAGATCATGCAAAGGAAAGGAAAGAGAAGTATGGCAGTGAGGAAAAGAAATACAGAGAGAGGAGAGAAGGTAGTCCTGCATCTTTGGAAAAAGATGGAGAGAGTGATCTGGGAAAAGAGAGAAAGGGAAAAGACAGAGAGGTGGATGAGAAGGGAAGTTCCAGCTCTGGAATGTCTGAGCAGAAACGTAAAGCTGGAGAAGAAGGGGAGAAAGATGAGAAAGAACAAGCACAGAAAGCACCTGAGACCCTGAGCAAATTTGCTAAAAGGAGCAACGAGGAGACAGTGATGTCAGCACGGGACCGGTACCTGGCCCGGCAGATGGCCCGGGTCAGCAGCAAGCCCTACATCGAGAAGGAGGAGGATTGATGGCCCTGGGCTGTCAGGCAAGAGCCACTTCTGTGCAGATCCTTGTACAGAAAAGGTTATCCTACCTATTATTCCTGGCTTTCCTTTGAGAAGTTGTGTGTCCCTTAAGAGAACAACGTTTGGAATGGATCAGTGGGTCTCTTGACACACACCCTTTGTCTGTACAGCTGAAATGTTAAATGTGGCTGACTGTCCACCCTGCTCTTCAGTACATGTCCTTGGTACATGAAGATTTTGGACAGACCTGGGAGTGTTAAACAGTGTAAGGTGAGAATGCGTCCCCCTGCTCCTTTCAGCAGCCAAAACAGTGAGCTCTGCTGAAACAAAGGTGTTCTCAGCCCCTAGGAGGACTCATTGCCCTTACTGCTCTCAAAAATGGGGAGCAAACTCATAAAAGTGTGTGAAAAAGCAAGAAAACCAACCTGAATAATGATCTAGGAGAGTTCTGTTTGTAGAGTGGAGTTCTGTAAGATATATGCATATTGAGGTATAAATTTTGTATTATGTGTGGGTTTTGGTCTGGGGACCTGATGTACAGAAACAGTCAATAAAGTGCAAGATCCATATTGGATCAAATGTATGGCTCTTTTTTTTGTGTGTAGGTTATTTTACTGCATCTTTTTTGCATGGAATAAGGTAGATGAGTCTGTTTTCATATATTACAGTTTAAGTGATAGATTTGTCGTATAAACCTTCTGTTCAAAGGTTTGTATTCAAGAATAAAATTATCTTCCAGCTAGGTAAGTAGGATGTCTGACAGTGGTCATAGCTTTTAGAATACGTTTTCAACACCTTTTTAATTGTTCCTTTCACTTTTTTTCTGTTGCAAGTTTATCACATGCTAGAGTAAGGTGTACTTCTAGATAAAAAAAAAAAAAAAAGGTTTTGAGATTGGTGTTTCCCTAATGATTTTTTCAGCAGACTGAGCAATGAAACAAAGTGTGAGCAAAATTGAATGTAAATTATTCCACTTTATAAAGGCTTGGAATGAATTTTATATGTCAGCTAATCAAGGAGTTAAGCACAAACTCCAGTGTGGAGCAGTTTGGTTTTGCTGTTCTGTGTAAACAACTGTAATGAGCTTTGGTTCTTCTGTTGGAATGGAATGAAAGTGTTTAGCAGTGGGCCAGGGTTCAAAAATGAGGGAAATCCTCTGCTTTTTGTCAGAGGCCTTGCTGGCATTGTAAACTGGACAAGATATTCTGCTGTTACTTAGAACTGAGATTTTTATCTTTGCTCTTCCCAGAAGAGAGAGGCACAAGAGACATCTGCAGATGATTTATGAATATTAAATTTATTACAGTAACAGTTTACAGTACAAGGCACATACTGATGACTTACAATCAGCTTGCAACACTTGTAACTAAACAGCTGCATAAATTAATACAGGTGCATCATGTACAAGTTGGAGGGAATACTTAGTTCTGTACAGCTAAAACTCCAGTTTAATTCTCTTTAAAAGGCAAAGATGGTCCTAATTTACCAGTTTCATGACTTCCTTTTCACTGTTCAGAACAGAGGGTAGGATATACTCGTGGTAGATGAGTGGAAGGTGAGCTGAAGAGAAGGAATTTTTTTGCCTCAAAAACACTTTGTAACTGCAGTGCAGTTCATTTGGTATCAATATAAATAATTTTTGTACAAAACCAGTGTTTAAGGTGTGGCTGCTTGCTGAGCTACCTGATAAATATTGGTTGCTTTACATGTTTTCAGATGGGTGTGTTAAAAAAAAATAATTGTATAAATAAATCAATTTCTCAATATTTCAACCACTCAGCTAAATAGAAATACTAAAAAAATGAACTTACCATAATAAGATATTTGAACCAGTACACCCTGTAACAAAAAAGTAATGAGAACTAAACTGCCTTTCAAGTTCAGCATTTATAGAATGAAAACATGGATGTATTATATCTTCGTATTATTCAGGAAGAGAAAAGCCTTTTTAATCTACATTGCTTTTTGTATCATTAAATTATTCCAGGAGTTTTCATCCTCTCTCACTGTCTCAGGACTCGGAGCACATTAGTCTCACATTTCAGCTGTTGCAGGGCTTGTGTTTCTGTCAGGGCTTCCTGGCTGACTTAATTCACTAGAAAATGTGACATTTCTTGGGAAATCTCTCTGCAACTCCCAGAGAGCCAGTGCCTATCCTGTGTCAGTGTCTTAAGAATTGCAAGTTTTTTTTGTTAGCTGAACTGCTGTCTGAAGAGGAAAGAAATGGGGTAGGGTTTTCTCCTTTATTTCCCACACTTTGCTGTTGGATGTGTACAAATACCTCATTCATCTTACACTGACATTTCATGTGTATTTTTTCAGTTAACGAAGTCAGAAAATTTAACTTTTGGAAGGAGGTTTCAAATACACTTGAGGCCTAAGCTACAAAACTTTCACATGAATAGCTGTCCAGTAAGACAGATTTATTGTGTTTTTCTGGTGGCCATTAAAGAACATATTCCCTTTTCAAAAATAGCTCAGGAGTCTAGTTCTGAAAGAACACTCCTTGTCCCTCTTCAGTTATTTCCTCATTGGAAGTTGGGATTGAGACTTAGATGAACTCAAAAGTCATTATCCAGAGTGGAAGAGGAAGTGGCAGAGGCCTTTCTCCAGGTACACAAAGGGGGAAAGCTTTGGCAGAGGGGATGGAAATGTGTTCAGAAGGCAAACACAGCATCCCTGCTTTCCTCTCACCTGGCAAGTGCTTCATACCCAGGTCATTCCAGCATGTTCCTTAATGCCCCCTGCTCTGCCTGCACAGGGAGCCTTGGCAACATTAGCAAAGGGATACAAAAGAGCCTTTTATCCTCTATTTTATTTTACTGTTGTCATAATCTGTGTGCCAGAGTAAAAATACAATGCAAGTTTGTACAGGAATGATGCCTTCCTGGGTTTGTCTGCACTCCCTCTGCAGCAGAACTCGTGTCCTCCAGGGCCAGGGCAGCTGCATTTGGGGAGCACCTGTGTGCATGTCATGTAAAGAGCTTTGTATGGACATGGGTGTTAATTTGTGTGTCAGTACCTTGAAATTTAATATAAAGTGTTCTGATGAGAATCAATCCTGCTGAACTTTACTCAGCTTCTTGCTAAGAAAAAAAAAAAATTCCTCTCTTTTTTCTTCTTCAGCTTGAAAACTTAATGCAGTCACATCAGAGTATGAGCTACTAAACCTTCAAAGTGGGTTTGGATAGTTGTAAATGTACTTTTGTCAGCCAGCCAAAAGGATTATTCTAAATTTTACTTCTGTACTAGGAAAGAGGAGGAAAACCCCACAGGCTCCAGCAAATTTTAGGTGTGAAATTAACTGTAAAAAAAAAGGGAAGTGAAGCAGAGAAAGAGATCTTTAAGATTGCACTTTTTGGCATGAGAACTCAAAAAGATTCATTGTTGGTTCGTAGTTTCTGTAGCTCTGCCAGGACAATGACTGGTTATGGAAACAGTACAGTAAGTGCTGGCAACTTAAGTGCTTGTCAAATAACTCACGATAAGTTTTTGTGGCTTGATTGTGTCTAAAGGAAAGTGAATTCTCAAACATCACAGAAAATAATCTTTGTAATTTTTTTTTTATGCAAGAAACAGTAGAAATTGTTACCACCTACAAACCAGAGGAAATGAACACGAGGCCGGTGCTGTGTGTGCTGATGTGTGCAGAGTTGTGCTGCTCAGCATTTTTCCTCTCCCTCTGCCTCCTCCACCACAAGCCTAGGGAACTTCCTATTTTTGTTTTCCTCATTTATAAACCCCTGCTTTACTCGAGTAATGTATGGCTATCAGAAATATTTGTGCATTTTCCCACGTAGTTGAAGCAAGTAGAGAACCTTAGAAGCGAATACGACATTGCCCAGTACGAACAATCACACGGAGGGAGGAGATACAGGAGCACTGCCACACACTGGGGGTCTACACCTAATCCTGCCGTGCCTTGCTCGTCCTGGAGGGCTGCTGCAGGCACTCGGTGCCACTCCCGGAGCAGGGATGTTCCCTGGAGTTCCACAGTGAGTGCTCAGTCCAGCCTGCTTGGAAGTGCACAGTCGATGTCATTGAATTGCTTGGATAAATGTGCTGGAGGCATCACCTTTCCCAATGGTGCCAGTGGTGCAGCCTCCGTGGAAAACTGTTTGTTGTCTCAGCTGGAAAGGAGGTTCTTTGCGGGGAGAGGAGGGGAAAAGTGACATTTTGTGCTCCTCTTCCCTCCCCAGAACCAGGTCAGCTTATACTGCGTTCATGCGGATGTCTCCAAAGGGAATTTCTGTCGCTGTTTCTGGAGTAATGCTTTTCAGAATACGCTGTTGGAAAGACATCAGAAATTTATTTTAGGGGCAATGCATAACATGTCAGCCGTTTAGAAAGAGATTAATAATATAGCATGACTTTGAGTTACACCTCTTGAGCTACTTAAGAGTGTTTCAGGCCTCTGTTAGCACTATGAAGATGGAAAGTGCTGTAGAAGTACACAGCAGTATTTTAAATATTATTTGTAGCATAATTGGAATCAAAGCTTGGCAGATGTCATATTAATGCTTTAGGACTTTGCAGTTTACTGGGATACCCTGAGCCAACTAAGTATATTCTTTATGAACTGGTATTTATTTAAACTTAGAAGAAATCTCAGTGTTGTCATTTCAGATTTATGGCAGAGAACTCTTACTTAATATGTGAGAGAAAAGCAAGCTTTTCTTTACAGATACATGCCATGAAACCAGCCTTTCACTGCCTCATATGCTTGACTGGGGGATTTTGAGTGTCTGAAGTGAATTTTAGGAAGACTCATCCAGTTCATCAAATCAAAAAATTACTTGATATAACATTTCATAAGAAATTGTCAGCAGCCTCGGTAAGAACCGGGGAGATTTGTGAGAATTTGGGAACAGAGCAGCCAGTCATGATATTTTTAGGAATCACCTCCTTCCTAACAGTCAAACAGAAGCAAGAGAGCATCAGGGATACCTCCTTAAGTGTCCCTGGGGTGATGACCAGGCGATAGATCATGTAGATGGGAATGAAGATGATGGAGGAGGTTCCTATGCAGTAACCCACAACTGTGGTCCAGTAGGGATAGTCATAATCAAAAAGCCTCAGCTCAGGAGGGCTGGACAGAAAGCTGCAAGTGACAAACTGAAAGAGAAAAAGGGCAAAGTGTGAATATGTGGATTTTCATGGCACACATTTTGGGGAACTCTGTGTTCCAACATAGCACTGAAATAAATAGAAAATGAGTAGGACTCAAGATAAAAAATATGTTGACACTGAAAAGAAATCTTAAATTACATGTGTGTAGATTTAAAACAAATCAACAAATCATGAAACAAAGACCAAGAGGATCCTTCCCAAAGCAGATGCTCTCCACTCTCCACTGCTGTATGTCAGAATAGGAAAAGGAAAAAAAGTCAGCTCAGTTACTGCTGTTGGATCATTTTCCTGAGCATATCATTCATGACTGAAAAATTCCTTAGGAAACAACAAATACTTTTAATTGAATATTACAGGAATAATATTTGTGACTGTCCCAGGAAGGATCTCTGACTGGTTTTTTTTCCAGAGTATCATCAGAAGCTCAGGATTTACCAGAAAAACTTCTGTACAGAAATTACATCCTGCATCCTGAGCTTTCCTTATTTTAGGTGGGTTTCCACAGGGAATACAAATAGCTCTGCCTGGTAACCACATCCCCAGAGCTCTGTGCCTCTCTGTTTTGCTGGTTTAGGAGTACAAAGAGGACAGAAGTGTAAAAATTGCTGTGGTGTGACATTTGAATTTATAGATTTCTCTTTCTAGGGGTAATAAAATCAAAGTCTGTTAATTATGCCTTGATCATTACAATTGTTTTGAATTCACTCTGTAGGTCTTAAATCCACATTCTGTGCTTCATAAACTCCATCTTGACCTCTCTGCTCCCACTAAAGCCAGTCAGAATAAAAGATAGCATGGGCTAATTTTGAATCAGGAAATGAACACTTTATGTTCAAATGTTATTAATAACACTGCCAAGCCAAACACTGGGACAGTATTTCCAATTCTGAATTATAGATTTATAATGGTTGTAATTAACTGCTGGAAATTTTAAGTGGAATATTCTAAAGTTGTCCATCAGCAGTTGCTGAGACAGTGTATTTACTTATCTTGGTGTTCCTCCTCTGACAGTATGTTTCATCAGCTTTTATTGCTACATTTTGCTGAGGTAAACATAAGGCAACAAAACAAAGTAAATTTGTTTAGCAGAGGGCAGGGGGGGAGTTATTCAGAATCCAGACTTATTCAGCTAATTCAACTACAAAAATCCTTAAAACTGTGATTTGGTAACAAGACCTTGCAGCATTGTATTGGGTTTTTTACTAATTGAGCCTTTTTTGTTTAACAAAAATTGTTACTAAGAACTGGAATTAAGCTTTTAGAAGGAGCTGCATTGTTCAGTGGTGATTTTCTTGGTGCTGGAAAGAAAAAGCTCTAAAGAAAACTCACCAGAAGGAAAAGGGGACTAATTGCAACCCAACAAACTCGCCAGTACCAGCCTGGGGCAGAGCCCAGCATTTCTTTCACATCGTTGCAAAACTGGGTGATGCCTGTGGAGATAAGTGGAGGAGAGGGATGACAGCAGGTCTAAGATTTTCAAAAGGAGACGCTCAACACTTTTTTATGCCCAGCAAGTAAATTCAGAATCTATCCCAGAAGACCATTTTGTTCCTATAACTCTTAATTTTACTAAACCCTTAATTACTCTGAATTACACCTCCTGTTACTTTTAGCTGTCTGTGTACTTCTGTCAGAGAGCAATTAACACTAATTCTCACTGCTTTAGTTATCAGTGAGTCTGTAAAAAGCTTTTGTAAACTTTTTTCTGGAGACGTGGGTGATCTTGTCTGCAGAAACCGAGGCAATGCAGGAGTTTGGGGTGGGATGTTTGGAGGTACCATAGAACCAGGACACAGCCACTGCCTCCAGGAACACGACGGTCAGGACAGCTGGGCCCGTGGCATATTCCTCAAACAGCTTCACCACATATGCTCCTCCCTGGAAAAGAGATCAAGCTGTCAGTGTGCCCAGGGTGCTGCCCTGCTGCTGGTTGGTGCTGCCTTTGGCTGGAGCAGGGCGTGCACAAGTGGGGATTCACCCAGGTCTGTCACTTCACCCTATTTCTGCCAGGGAAGCCCTGGGGAGCTGCTCACCCCTCACCTGGGGGCTGCCATGCAGAGAAGCTAAAAACTGCTGGCTGGGTTTTAGTGAACAGAGGGGATGGCTTTTTGCATGCCCTCTTCTTTCTCCACCAAGGATCATAGCTGCTGAACAGCAAATAAATAAAGTGTTACTTTGCTTTCTTTCCATTTGGGATCTAGAACCACAAAGGAGGAGAGCTCTTGCAGAGGAACTCAGCATCCTCGTACAGCAAATACTTCACATAAGAAGGAAGTTACACATACATGAGCAAGTGGAGTGAAACATGACAGGAAAGCCAAGTATTTCTTTCTATTTCCCTTGTGATTCTTACACTCATTATTCAAAAATTGCTTGTTGTGGGAATGAAATCCACAAGCCCCACAAGAACAATTTGATGTGACTAATGATGATTTCTGCCTTGAAACAGTGAGGAAGATCCAGGAAATCCATTACTAGATTTTTTTTAAAATTCAAAATACATTTTACACATTGTGAAGATTATAATAACTGTTCATGTTATTTTTAAACACGGAGCTTTTGGGAATAAGAAATAAACCACATAAAATGTGGCTGGTTGTCTGCTGACTGATGAGCAGCACCATTTATGATGTGTAGCACATCATGAGTTGCAGTAGGATTATTTTGCAACATATTTCCTAGTGAAATATCACATTTATTCCAAGTAATAGATTTCTAATGCACAGAGAAAACAGCCTGGAGGTTCAATCTGATTTCTTGAAACTCTCTTCAAAAAATTACCCTCTCCAAGGTGTCATAGGCAGGAAAGTGCCAGAGAGGGAGGCTGAGGGTGGGTGAGATACTCACAAATGTCAGGGTTGCCAGCGACCCCAAAAAGCAAACGATGGTCAGACCAAGGACAAACAATTCCCTGCGTTTGCCCCAGACGTGTGGGAATTCATCCAGGACTCCAGTGATCACCCCCTCCAGTCCTGCAAACTGAAAAGCATGGAAAAATCACTGGAAAATAGAGGGCAGTGTTGCCTGCTTAAAAGTAAGTTTGAGTGCTTAAAGGAGCATTGAAACATTGGTGCTTTGTTCTGCTGTAGAGCTGGTGTGGGGTTTTTAGACAAGTTTTTCTCCTAACTTTTTAAAACTGTTCAGGGTGGGGATTTAGTGTTCAGGTATCTGTGGGAATGCATTTTCATCCAAAAGCAGTCCTGTGCTGCAGGCAGCAGGATGTGGGGAAATGAGAGGTGGTTCAGTAGGACCAAGACTGTGAAATCAGCTGAGTTCAGCCCTGCTGCAAGGAGCTGATTCTCCACCTGTAAAACCACACTCACATGATAATTTTTTAGTGTATCTCCAGTTCTCACCTTTTAAATCCAAATTGTGGGAAAAAATTCCAGATTTTCATAATTGCTTTGTAAGTTTACAAGCAAGAAGGGAGCCTGGAAGGCTGCAATCAACTAGGAGTGTATAAATCAATTTGCTTGTATTTCAGTGTCTTGTTAACTGTCACAGCCTGACAGTGACAAATAATTGATTATATTCAAACCTATTCAGATGAAAATTGGAGCAACAGTTGCTGTCTTACAGAAGGCAGCTGGCACTGCCAGTCCTGCTGCAAACCCCTCAGTGCCAGGGCAGTGTTTGTAGTTCTGTTTCTGTGTCCCTGCTGCCTACTCACCGTGCTGTCCAAGCCCAGCGTGAGCAGCATCAGGAAGAAGATGATGGCAAAGAAGGTGGAAGCTGGCATGTTTGCAATGGCCTCTGCATAGGTGATGAAGAGCAGGCTGGGTCCTGGAGCAGAGTTGGGATCGCTGTTAGGACAGGCTGTGCACGGCGTCTCCCAGGGGAAAACTTCTCCCCCCAGGCTGCTTTGCCATGTGCAGTTACCACCACGTCTGTGAAACTGCAGTCTGGATTTTAGATGTGGTATTTATAGGCTGATTTTTTTAGCTGTACTGTGTAACAGTGCCCAATAAAGTCAGCATCCTGAATAATATACTAAATATTTCTCATCACTCGTGCTGCTCTCTAGATCTAGAAGAACATATACAAATACATTCTATCTTAGAAGCAGTTTGAGATGTGTATGGAACAGAACCTACCGGTGTCTTTGGCAACCTCTGAGACATCTTCATTCCTCATCTCAGCCATGTAGCCCAGCACGGTGAAGATGACAAACCCAGACACAAAGCTGGTCAAGCAGTTCACGGTGCTGGTGACCAGAGCATCTCTGCAACAGAAGACCTAACTCTCATCAGGGACCTAACTCATCTGCACCTGCTAGAGAGGTTTACAACTCTTGGTTTACAATCTGGACAGACTCCTAGAAAAACTAAGGGAATATAAGGAAAAAACGAGCAGCAGATTTGAAAGAAAGAGGGAAAAACCCAACCCATTACTGCTTTTTCTTCTCAAATCCATACAGGTGCTGTGACATCAGTCTGCCACTGGATTGAATGCTGGCTGTATCCTGCTGTTTTAAAATACTAGGAATTACTACATGATTATTAAAGAATTGAGAATTTTATTTTAGAAGTTAGAAATAGATTTTTTTTCACGTAACAAGGAAAAAAACATAAATTGCCTTTCTGCTCAAGACTATAAAGTTATTTTTTAACTGACTACTGAGATTAAATAACTATAATATGATGGTTTGGCAGGGGTTTAGTCCATTTTGTTGTAGAAGGTTTCTACATTTTAGACCTCTTGCTGTAAAATTAGCAAAAATTATCTTACTTCAAGGTAGGTAACAGGGGAGAAATGCTTGAGATTGCAGGTTCTCTGTTACACTTATTTCTGATTTCTATGTACACAGGTCTGACAATTTAGTGCCTTTCACCAACGCCCTGTTTCTTTTTCATAAATACCCACAGTTATATTTTTAAACTCGATTTTGCTTATAGAATAAGGTAGAACTCACTGGTAGCAGTTGTTGTGGAATTTGTTGTAGCTGGAATAAGCCAACAGGACCCCAAAACCTGGTCCCAGTGAGAAAAAAATCTGAGCTGCTGCATCCACCCAAACCTGAAAAATATTGAAGGCCGAGAAAAAAAAATGCCATGACACAGATTGAATGAGTTTGGTATATTCAGAATATCACTTAGGTCTGCAAAAGGGTATTTCACTGGTCTGCCTGTGTCCTAGTCCTGGTCTAACAGACACTCTGTTGAGAGAGCTGTTGGAATATGAATGTTTGTTGTAGAACTGTTGTGGCTGTTGCACTTCTGCCATCATCTTAGATTAATTCAGTGAATTACCTGTAATCAGTTTAACACAAGTTTTGCAGTGTATAGAGAACTTTATAGCCATGATTTTGAAGTCTTCCAAATCTTCCTCCAGACTCTGTGTGCTGTGGAATAGCCCTGTGCTTGGCAATGTGTCCTCCAGGCTATGTCGACTTTTCCTGGATTTATGGAAATCCATTGACTGTGTGGATGCAGTTCTGGTTCTTGGGGCTCAGTTCAGCTTTGTTGTAGCTGTGACAGATGCAAGTGTGATGATCTTGTTATGAAAAGCTTGTTGTACTTGAAAAGTGGCCACAGCCCTAATGAGTAATGTTCTAAAGTACAATATCAGCTCTCTTTCTGAAGGTGAAAGTCCTCATTCATTTATTCTCTTTTGATTGAAACATGGAGTTCATTACAACTCATTTCTAATATTCTCTCCCATGGTGTGAGGCCATCCTGTATCACCCAGACAGAGCTCTGTCATCACCCAGCACACAGATTGCAATCTGCTCTCCTCACTCCAGATACATCCAATACAATATCAATGCCCTTTATTGCTTTTTCAGAAGATGGGGCTCCTTATTGGAGATGCTGCTTTATCAGAGACTGGTGTCTTTTCATTTCCTCTTCATTCAAAACTCTCTATATCAGCTGGGCAGCAGCAGACTCGCAAACATTGGAAATTTTTAATCTTCATGTTTGTAGTATTTATTGCTTTGGGGTTTTTCCATCACCCTCCTCAGCAGACACTTTCACAGGCAGTGGAGTGAGCACAGCCTTGAGCCTGATGGATTGCTTGTCATCCCCAGAGTTCAAGGCTGGATCAGACACTGGAGAGCCTGGGGTTTGTTGGTTAGCTCAGTTTGTCCTCACTCCTGCTTTCCTCTCAAATTTTGGTTGTGTATGCAGGCCTGACTGATTTATTCCTCCTCCACAGGCACTTACATGAGTTACTGGGCCAGGGTTTAGTTGGTGTCTGTGGGCTCATCTGCCAAAGCTTGTTACAGGCTGGAGACAGGAGTTTCTGCTCCAGTAACCTGCACTATTTAAACAGGGGCAGCTGTGGACTCTGTAGGGCTGTACTCATCCCCTTAAGCCAAAAATCTGCAGCTCCACCACTTGTTAGGGTTTAATAAATTCAGTTTGCTCAGCGTGACTCTCACAGGGGAAGGATTTTGTTGCAGTGTAGGAGCACTCACAGCTTCTCACTAAGTGTCAGCCTGGTCACCATTTTCCCAGTGAAAAAGGATTTGGTCACTTGCTTTCTTCTAATCAGATCACTCATTCTGTTCAACCACTGTGTGGGAGCTCTGCCTGTAGTTCAAGCTAAATTGAGGGTGGACTCTAAAATTATTTATAATTATGGAAATAGCATGGACTCAGGCTTTTAAGTCCATGTTAAGACATTTGTTCAGTCATGCTCTACGCATCTATGGTGGTACACACACAGACAGGCTGAAAGCAAATCTCCCTTTTATAAAGTTCTTTACCTCAGTGGCCAGGAGTTTCTGCCAGTCAGGTTTCAGGTAGTAGAGGACACCTCTCCAAGCCCCAGGCAAAGTTGCACCTCTCACGAGCAGGATGAAGAGGATGATGTAAGGGAACGTGGCAGTCACCCAAACCACCTGTGAGGGAACATGGTGAGAGCGTTTGCCATGGGGAGAAAGTTAGCAGGGATAATAATTAATTAATCATGTTATATGTCTCAGCATTTATAGCATCTTCACATGAGTTTCTCTGCAGGTCTGTGAACAGGCAGTTTGCACATCTGAGCCCTTTCCCTGGCAGGGTTGGTCCTGCCCAGAGAACAGTGTCACTTCTTTTTGTTCTTTATTGCTTGGACAAGAGCAGCAGCCACCGTACAGCGAGTGCTCCCCAAATACATCAGCCCACAATCCCTGTCATGGAAACAACCTGAGCTGATCCCCTGACAGTTCATTGGCTCAGGCAGAGCTGCCTCAAGACAAGTTGATGTGTCTTGCTCTTGCATTCACCTTGCCAGATGTTTTGACCCCTTTCCAGATGCTGAAGTACACAATGGTGAAGATTAGCAGCAAGCAGAGGGTCAGCTGCCAGCTAATGCCCCCCAGGTCATCCAGCCCATTGGACCTGTGCACCTGCAGAACCTGGCGGCTGCAAGAGGGAAGAAAAACACAGCAGAGATACTTTTTAAACAAATGCTTACATTAAACGTGCATTTAACAGTCCCATACTGTGGTCTGAGCATTACAAGGAATCTTGAGATCTTGATAAGCAGCCTTCAAAGTCATGACATTTGGGATTCGTTTTATTTTACTTAAAAGTTTGATATTAACAGCACACCAGTGATGATAAGTGACAGCAGACAGCAACTGGGAAACTCCTAAAACACAAACCAACTCCCATGCACCCAAAGATTACACCCCCCTACAAAAATCCAGTGATTTGAAGGGGATGCCATCAGCAATCAGCCCTGCTGCTCTCTGAGGAAAACCTTGCTGGTGTTCCAGCAGTCTGGCTGCCACCACCATCCTCACTTACATGCACTTACGTATAAAATTCTTCTGCAGGAGAGATGGAGTGCAGGGACCAGCTGACGTTGTCCTTGCTGAAGTAGTTGGTGCAGTTTCCTGTGTTCCAGGGGTTTGTGCAGCTGGTCCAGGGCAGCTCCGCCGTGAAGGAGGAGATGAGGTAGTAAAAAGCCCAAGCCATGATGGTGTTGTAGTAGGAGGCTACGTAAAGATCTATGATACAGATGGCAAAGCCAATTCCTGGAGAGGCAGGAAATCATTGCATTCAGTCAGTGTAAGTTTTAGGCAAAAAAAAAAGAAAAAAAGAATTGGTTATCACATCAACAACCGTTTGTCTAAGGCAGCTCTGCAGGAGGAACACACACCCTCCCAGCTCTTTACAGCACTGGCATTTCTTGTGACTTCAGAAACACTCTGATTACAGCAAAGCATCCTTAATCAAGACAGAACATTTTTTAAAATAGATATTTTCTATGTGTTCCTAAATTTCTGCAATTTAGAAATAGGCATCTTGCAGTCTCAGTAAATAAAAAGACAGGATCAGAGCTACAGCACTGGGAACAAGAGTAAATGAGGATATAGAACAGTTCCTTTTATTCTTTATCATTTTAGGCTTGGTCAGCCTCTCTCTAATCAATTTGAGTTGCATACTGTACGTGTATACAAGAGTACACACACATGTGCAGGTGCACCTGGAGTTTTAGGAAAGCTTTCTTTGTAAAGCCAAAATCTTGTCTAGAACAACTCTTACTTGACTTTATGAGATTTTCTTTTTGCCCCTGAAATGCCACCTTTATAGGAATATTTTCCAGTTATTCAGAAAGTTCCATTTCCCTTTGTTACCTTTGAATATAGGACATATTTTTCTCCAAATGGAAATACAGCCATTCCTGTGGTACTGTCCTAGTGCTAATTCCATATAGAAGAGAGGAATCCCTCCAAAGAGGGCCATGATTGTGTAAGGAATGAGGAACGCTCCTGCAAGAGAGAAAGCAGATGATTGTAACTCTTCACAGACTTATCTTCCAACAGTACCAGCACTCCATAAACAGGAGTTCCTTTTATCCCACAGGGAAAATGCAGATCCCCTCCCTAGCCAGCACACCTCTGAATTACTGTGTTATTCCTCATGAGAGTAACTACCCAACAGTGTGAACAAAAAGCAACACCCAGGCCAAACTTCTCACATTTCTGCAACACAGGATTCACCAAGACTCCACTGACTCTCACAGCAGTGAGATGGGCTACAGATAAAATTATTAATTTCTCCAATAAAATGCCTTTGTTACATCAGAGAGACGAAAATCCTTTCTGAGATCTCCTTGATTAGATTTTGGATTTGTATTTTGTCTCTTATGTCAGTGAGTCAGAAACCCAGCCTTCCTCATGAGTTGGTTTAGACATGTTGGTTTATCAGATTTTAAAATGCTCCTTGGGAAAGGGATTGAGGTGTTGGAGTGTGGGTCTGCACCTACCTTGTTCTCACCTTCTAGTTGTGCTGTGCTAAACAGCTTTTCTGTGATTATCCTATCTCAATATTTAGGATTTTCAGTGAATAATTTCTCCTTGATCATTTGTTATACATGATATTTTAAAAACCACTAAACCATCCATTTATAAACCGAGAAATTCAGCACTAAGGAGCAATGAACACGAGTGGGCACTGACCTCCTCCATTCTGATAGCAGATATAAGGAAATCTCCACACATTTCCCAGATCCACTGCATATCCAATGACAGAGAGGAGAAAGTCAATTTTTTTACTCCAGGTCTCCCTGTCCTCCAGCTCCATCAGCTGCTGCTGAGCCTCGGCCCCGCAGGTGGTGGACGTGGTGGTGGTGGTGGTGGTGGTGGCTGCTGGGGCCGTGCCCTGGGCATCCTCCACCTCTGCATGGCAGGGAGCTGAGCTCTGGACCCCTGAAAAGCCATTGGAGATCTGAGCTGCCTCCCCTTTGTCCCCCTGGCTCGGGTGGACTTTGCTGCCATCCTCCACCAGCCGTAGGGCAGGTTTAGGGTTCCTGACCAGAAGTCCGTTCTCTTTGCAGTCTTCTCCTTTGCTACAGTCTGAGGCATCTTTCTTGGAAGTCAGGGGCTCTGTCTCATTGCTTGTGGGCTTTTTTTCCATTTTTGCTGAGATTTGTGCTGGTCACTGGCAGGCAGGCAGCAGCACAGGGTCCCTTCGGGGTTTGTCTTCCCACACCTTTGTTCCCAGCACTTTTAGAATTCCTCTTCCATACTTAAATCCATCAGATTGAAGGAACAAGCACCATCTGAGAAATTAAAAAGAGTTGAAAATCCATTACAAGCTTTACTGGTGCTGGAAATTTTCAAGTTACAGCCATTCTGTGATTAAAATACAGAGGTAATTAACCATCACAGCATGCAAAGTGAATCACAGAGCAGATAATCTGGGATTTTGTCCAGAGAAAGGCAGGAAGAAATCATCTCTTTGACAGCAGAACCTGGTGTACCTGGATCACACCCTCTCAGGAGGATTTGCTGGACTTTGTGCATTGCTGACACCTCACAGCCAGTCACAGTCCTGCTGTCTGCTGGTATCACCTTCTCTGAACACTGCTGGGCTCCCAGTTGGCAAACTGAGGGCAGAGCTTAGTGGGACTTTTATTTTCATTTTCCCAAGTTCATCCTGCAACTCATCCACTCATCTTGTGGCAATTTCTAGATTCACCCAGTATGAAGGGAAAAGAGTTAATTAAACAAATATGAGATAACCATGATATAAAAATTACATTTCATGACCACCTTTCTTCAAAAATCCCACAGTGTCTGCTCTGTTTAGCAGCAGATGTGGAAGGCTTAAAATGAAACTTTAGAAAATATTTTAATATCAGTGGTTTTGCATCAATTAACTTTTGAGGCTCAGTCAACACCAATAACAAGAAGAAGAGGTCAGAAACTTCAATTTGATTCTTCTCATTAAGAACTAACATGTGAGTCTAAAGGACAAGCTTGTCCCTGGTTTTATAAGACTCCCTGGGCAAATAAAAGCATCTTTCATTCAGTTGGGATCTGCTGACACTGTGGTCCCAGCCCTGGGAAGGGTGGTGGGCACTGCTCCTCTGCTCCTGCCCACTGCCAGCAAAAAACCCCAGGCACTGGGAGGATCCCTGGCTTCTCTGCCCTCTTCTGATGTGCTAAAAACAGAATCCAAGGGAAATAAACCACCCTGAAATAAAGTATAACACAATCAGCTTTTCCTGCAGAACAAAGATAACAGAGGAGTTGTGATGCTGTGAGCAGGTCAAGTTTTTTTTTCTGCTGATTTGTTCAGGTAAACACCCAGCTGCCTTTACCCAAGGAAACCTTGGAACAGGAGCTGATCCCCTGGGCTGTAAATTCCCCAGGGCAGTACCCCTGCTTTATTGCTAGCAAAGAGTCACACAATCCACGCCATGCCAAGATTAAATGATTGCAATTACATCTAATTTTTCCCTTTCAAAACATTTTGTCATGGTAATGACAAAACATGGTAATGGTCAAAACAAATGTCATTGTCACATCCTAGCAGAACAAAAAGAGCATTATTTCACTTATAACTGCAGGAAAAAACTAAAACAGAGAAGGGATACGATTTGCTTATTTCTAGAATTTGCTGATTATCAGAGCTATTAAAACTCAAGTTTTTCCCAGCTTTCCACCTTCTGCAAAGACAGTTTGTTAAACCTTTTATAAACATTTCTCGGTGCAAGCAGAAAGAGAAGGAAAGTCATTGAGCTGCAGAGCAAACAGGAGGATGGTTTAGAGATAAAATTCACTTGAAAATATTGCTTATAACTTTCAGAAATCTTTAGTTCTTCAGGTTTATATTCTGTCTCTACCCAAACAGTCTCTTTTTTGTCATACAGCAAGCAGTGCATCATTAATTTGAATTCTTACAAGAGCAAGTACTTTGCTGCTGTTAATTAACCATCCACAAAGACTGAAACATCTTCAGATTGAGAGAAAAACACCAGGGCAAAGAACAGGAGGTTCTCTTTTACCTGCAGGACTATAAAACCTGAATGCCTTTGGAGTCCAAAACCTTCCAAACGTCCCAAAAGAGGCTCTGGAGATGGAAACAGCCCTGGTGGCCACACAAATCCAGGGGAAGGCCACAGCCAATCCTCCCCTTGTACAGAGCATGGTAAATAGCAGGTGGGAATATGGAAAAGTAACCTGAGCCCTTCTGGACTTTACTCCTCTCACCCATAAATGGGAGCACTGTAAAGGATGTTGATTTAACTGCATTATCTCATGGGGCTGATTTTGCCATACCTGAGGCTTAAACTCTGTGTTTGTAAAACTCTTTATTTCTGCACATTTTTAATGCTTTATTTACTAAGGGGATGTCAAGGAGTGTATTGTTGATATCCAGGATTTTGATTTTGCCTTACCTGAGGCTTAAACTGTCAGTGTGTTTGTAAAACTCTTTATTTCTGCATATTTTTAATGCTTTATTTACTAAGGGGATGTCAAGGAGTGTATTGTTGATATCCAGGATTTGTGACAATCAGGATTGTTGTCCATCCAGACCTAAACTCCTTCTCCTGTTCTTCTGCACACCACAGAAAAAAAAATCACATTATTTGAAATACTTTGGTTGAATTTTCAGTAGTTCGAGCCTCAAATATGCGAAATTACACGTGAATTTTCAGGGGCTCCAGCTGAAATCAGAACTATTTCTTTCTGAAAAAGGAATGACAGCTTGTCAGCTGTCCTGGGGAATCTCTGGAGTGATGAAGTCCACGGCTCCACAGTGGAGTTCACAGGGGCATAGTTGGCACATGCAAGCAGAACAGTTTCAGATTATTTCATTACACCATAAAAAACTGTGGGAGAATGTGCATTTTTCTTTGCTTTCCTACAAATTAAGAAAAAAAAAATTGAAGGCACTGCGAGCACTACAAAGGGTGTAAAGAGCTGCAGAGAGAGCTCTTGGGGTGGGAAATGTGCTCGGACACCAGGGAAGATATCCAGGGGAAAATGAGCCCCAAAGTGAAGGATTTTGCCCACCTCAGCCTCCTCTCCTCTCTGCACAGATCCCCAGTTCAGGTGAATGATGACAGCAGTGATCTCAGCAATATCAGTTTATTACTGTTTTCAATCTGAGCTGTCCCAAAGGTTGCTGTTACATAACTGCGCCGTGGCTCCTTATCAGCCCCAATTAGCAGCAGGAGAAAAAGGAGATAAAAAGGGGAAGAAGACAGAGCTGTGTGCTTTCCTTCCCTTTTGATCTGTGCTTGGCAGACGTGACTTTGTTCCTCCGGGAGGCCCTGGTGCCGAGCTGGGGTTGTTCTGCAGGGCAGCTCCCTCCAGGAGCACGTGGAAGGTGCCAGCCCTGGGAATGCCACCCTCCCTTGGCAAAGAGTGACTAAAGAGGAGTGACCCTGGAGTCCTCCACAGCTCTCCCAGCTTTGCTGAAAACATCTGGGTGGGTAACTGAAGGCTTGTGTTTGCACACGTGGTGCTGCAGCCGCCAACGCAGTTCACATCAAACATTAATTAAATTATATTTATTTACCTCCCGCACGGAGATGAACTCGAACAAACACTGCAGGAATAAAACCCCTGCATATTCCCTGATGCACAAAGCCGGCTCTTGTGCCTGTACCAGAGCAGCCCTCGAGGAGCATCCCTGGCCTGGAGCCCGGCTCCTGCTGCTCAAGCGTTAGAGCATCTCCTGTTTATTCTGGGGGCTCGCAGTGACCTCTCCTGGCAGTGCGGGAATCCCTCGCCTTTCAGAGTAAACAACTCTTCCCAGCACCACAACAACGGGATTTTCCTGCTCTCGGCACTCTTTAGGGGAGGAATTGGCGTTTCGTGTGTCTGGGGGAGCAAAGCGGTGGGGCTGAGGGGCAGCAAAGGGCAGATGTGCAGGGGAGGCAAACCCGGAGTCCCCGGGAGCTGCCGGCTTGGAGCTGGGGCTGCAGAGCCTCCCCCACCCCCTGTGCCCCCCATTTCAACCCCCACAGCTGCAAAATGTATGGGTTTGTATGAATATCACCTTCACACACATGTGAATATTTCATATTTCGTGTCCTGGTTCCGTGGATGTGGGGAAGCAGCACTCGCTGGGCTGCAGGGAAACTCATTCCCACCTTCCCTCCCCTGCTCCTCCATCCTCCTGCCTGAAGAGCTTTGAAACTCGAGAAGAGCCAGCCCAGGGTGTTGGCAAACAGAATCAAAGCCGGGATGGTTCCTGTTCGCTTGACCTAAATCTCACATTTATCCCAGAGAACTGGAGATGGTTGAAGTTGCAGCTCCTGACTCACCTTGCAGCTCACCCAGGCAGTTGTGCAGAAATGGAAAGAGTCCAGGGACGTTACTTTTATCTCAAATATCAAGCAAGAAGTTTGTATGAGCAGATAGAATCGCTCACCCCAGGCAGGAGAGGGCTGTGCTGCTTGCCTGGACCTGTTCTCACCTCTCAGCCACAAATGAGCCAGACAGGTTTCATGATTTTCCTCTGAGTTTGCAGAGGTCAGCAGCAACCCTTAATTCAAAGTATCATGGAATATATTTCCCCATACTGTGAGGGCTTGTTAAAAAATTTAAAATTTCAGCCAATTAAATTGCATTGCTCTCAATTATGGTGAATTTTGCCTGCTGTGTGTCATACACAAGTCATATTTAGGTTCATAATGCTAAAAAGAATTGGTGCCTTTTGATGTTGAACGTGTTCACTTTTACTGATTTCTTTAAAAAATGAGTACCCAGAATGTCCTCTCCTGTTAGCTCATTAGCAAGTGTGACAGTCTGTATTTCAGATTTCAAAACCTGATAATCAAAACTACTTGGGAGCCACAGAATTGGGGCATTGGGTGTAAAGCAGATCTAAGCTGATATCTAGACCATCCCTCCACAACTGAAAATTGATTTGTTCAGGGGATTTTTTTTTAGAAATTCTTTTCTAGGTGAAGAGAATCAAAATAAAGAGTGATCAAAACCCACTGAAATTAATGGTCCAGTGAATTGTAACAGGTTTGATCCCACTGCCAATGATTTTAAATGCTACAAAAGTTGTGCTTTGGCCCAGCACTGTGATCTGGGAGTATTTTAAGAGGAATTTTGAGCGTGCAGGTGACAAAACGGATGAAATATCCTTTGTATGGGTATTTGAGTGTTCCAAGGGCTCCCTCACGTTCCTGCTAAAGCAGAGTGAGCTCAGCAAGTCCTGCTGGTGGGACAATGGCCCTGGAAGCCCTCACAGGCTGCTTCCCCAGGAGTGCCACCAGGAGAGGTTAACTCCTGTCCTCCCAGAGAGGGGGAGGTGGGAAAAGGCTCCTCTGAAAGCAGCACTTCTGGGGAAACAGAAACTGCACTGGGAGTTCTACATCACAGCCTTGTCCCTGTCTCAGCCTGAAATTAAAAAGTCATCAGGAAAGAGAGATTTCTACCTTTAAAATTCTGTACAGAAGGCAGGCTGTAGTGGGAATGCTGCCAGGCTGGTGTCAGTCATTTAAAGAGCAGGGAGGAGGGGAAATGCATTTTTTTGGCTTGAGGGTGTCTGTGTGTACTGCAAGGAAACAGATAAGCTTGGGGGGGATGATATTGCTTCTGTATTCTTCCTCCAATTATTTATACACCCTTGAGGAAGGGTCCTCACACACCACTAAATAAATGGAGCACCATCCCTTGGTAACAGATGATGTTTCTCTGAAGGGGATTTGTTAATGGCTATCTCCAAATTACAGCCCTGAATTCAGGCTCCAAGTTCCACTCAAGTTCTGTATGAAACATTTATCCCACAGGCAGGCTCATTGTGTTCTGTCAGACACAGAGCTGCAAACACACAGCCTGGGAAAAGAGTTCAACATGAGCATCAGGAAGGAGAACAAGACACAGAATTAATATTTCTTTAGGCTCTTACTAATGAAAACTCAGCAATTTATATTTCCATGGAGGGAAGCAGGAAAGAACTTAAACACACTGCACGTTTCCATGTGTGGGAATAACTTGGTGTTGTTATTAAATTCTAGTTTTGAGGTAGTTTTTATGAAATTCATCACATCCTGTCCAATTAGAAAATGGTCACAACAGTCACTTGCTATATGTGAGAAGTTTTCAAAGTATTCTCCAAGAAAATTACGGTTAATTTACCATCAAAATCACCAGAAAATGCAGCCCAAGTGTTTGAGCCCTTCCCTGGTAAATGTCTGACAACCCACATTAAAAAAATGCCACAACATTTTCAAGAATCCAAATCCATTAAATGCCTGATCCCTTTCCCCCCAGGCGCTCTTAACATATCAAAACATGTTTTCCTTGCCTATTTATATATTCAGTTGCATTACATTCCTTAATTAAACTCCATATTTCTTACTGAACTAACCCAGCAAGCCAGTTGGTTTCAGTAAACGTGATTGACTATAAATATATAGGACATGCTCTTCAGATTTATTACTTGCAATAAATCTGTCCCATTGAGTTCAATAATTTACTGTGCTGGAACCATTTACCTTTTAAAATATAACTTAATACAGTTAATAAAGCTCACTTCACCCTTTCAAAATAAATAACAGCTTAAATTGCCTATTTTCTCTTATTTTTCCTTCAAATTCTGCTGCTTTCCTTCATTTTTCCTTATAGTTTAATGCCTTTTTGAAAGCTTTAAATAACTTTACATCTGTAATGCAGTTATGTGGACTGCCAAAACTCTTAAGTTTAGATTGTCAGAACATGTTCTGCTGCAGGCATTTGACTCCCAACATTCATAACTGCTGGACAAGTGCCTGAAAATGACAGAGCAGAGCATGGAGCAGCAGCAAAGAAATAAAAGGCACTAAAAGTTTCAAAAACTCAAGGAAAACTAAAACTAAAATCAACGCATCTTTTTTTGCCCCCGAAGCTTTGTTAGATGAAAAATGTTTTAGAAATTGTCAAGAAAAATGTTTTAGAAATTGCCAAAGACCTTAAAGCAGCTTTTAAAGCAAACAAACCCTAGAGTAGAGAGTTCAGCCTGCTGCTCATATTTCAGATTTTATAACTGAAATGCAACGAGGAGGGAAAGTTAATGAAACTCTGCTGCTGCAGGGGGGCAGCTCTGAGGAGTCTCTGTGCCTGCCTGAATTTCATCAAGTGCTTCAGGCAGGGCTGAGTAAAGACAAAATGATGAAGTACCTGTGTGCGGGGTCGGTCCGGAGCGCTGCCCTTGCTCGAGTCCCCTTCAGCCACATTTACCTCAGCCTGTGGCCAGCTCAGCATCCTGGGGAGCTTTTTGTACCCCAGTCCCCCTCACATGGTCTGATTTGCAGATAATCTGCTGCCAAAGAGCTCTTTAAGAATTTTTTGCGTCACTTTAGTCAAATCAACTTCATGTTTCACCAGGGCTGCAGCTCGGTTTTCCTCCTAGAGGTGGGTGGCTACATTTGCCTGCTCTGATCTGTTCAGCAGGATCCAATGGAGGCACAGGCAGAAGGAAGGGGAGCTTTCCTGGGAAGGGACAGCTTTGCTGCATGTTGTTATAAATATAAATTACAGGATGGGGGTGAGGATGGACACAAGGAAGTTTTGAGGGAGGCAGTGAATTAGAAATTTCTGTAGATTACAGGAGGATAGGAAGGACTGGGATATTATCACAATAAAAGAGCTTGAAAAGAATAATTTCTTTTCAATTAACCTAAATAGTTGCATTATTTTAATAAAGAAATAAGGTTTAGTTTGGTTTTAAATCTTGAAGCACAAGTTCTTTACAAGCATTTTGCTGCCTCAATAAGCTCAACAAGTAATTTCCTTTCTTCCTACCACTACTCCAAATACCTCACTCCACTTCTAACACGTTTTCATCTCCAGTGCTTTTCGTCCAGAATTTCTTCATTCCTGCACATGACTTGTTTATGAAAGGTCATAAATCACAGGTCAATGCCATAGTTTAGGGGGCAAATTTAGGAAAAAAAAAAAAGGTGGAAAAGCAGAATAGGGGCAAGTAAGAGTAGCTGATTGTTGGGGCAGCAGCAGCTTTGCTGTAAGCAGTTGCCAGTTTTCAGAGACTTCTTCCAAACAATTGTAAAGAAAATAAACTGGAAACTGAGAGCTGTAATTTGCATTTCCTCTGCTGTCCCTGGGTGAGGCTCCTGCACCATCTCAAGGAGAGCTCGGGCACTGCAGCTCCACACACGAGGGACGCACTGAAATCAGCTTTGTTTCCCATTATCTTGGGCCATTTCGTCAAATGGAGCTTTTTTCCTTCACTTGCTGTAGAAGTTCATTGATCTTTTCGTGCAAACAGCAATACTCACCTCCTCTGCTGGGCTGGATTTCCCTGCTTTCCAAAATAATCAGGATTGGTGCTCACCTCCCCTTGGCTGCAGGCAGGAACCCCCCAGTCCTTGCCTGTGATATTCCTCCACCACCTTCCCTCTGTTTTGTCCTGTTCCAGACAGATCCTGCCATTCCTCCCCCACCAAACCTTCCTGGAGGTCACAGCAGTGTTTGATGTGCAAATATCCAGCTGTGGGTCAGACCCCAGGCTCTGCAGAGAGCATTTTTGTTTCTTGGGAGGATGGGTGCCACGAGGAATCTGCACCTTTACCTTCCTAGCAACTTTACTTTCCACTGCTGGGACACTGGAAGGGATTTTCCAAACTCACTTTTTCTATCTCTTACAAGAAATAAATTCTCTCTCCTGAAAGCCCTTCTGCTCATTACATAATTATACCTTAGGTTTTAAAAAATTTTAGAGGGATTGAGACCTTTGAGGTTTTTCTCCATCTCAGTCTCTGCTTGGAGTAGGTTCTTTTATGCCTTATCCAGGCCTTTTGGTTCAGGTGTTTTTTTCATTATCTTCTGCAGCAGTTATTGGGTTGGGTTTTGTTGTGTTGGGTTTTTTCATTTTGAATTTCTTGCCAAACAGTCAGGAGCCTTTGGGACATAATAGAAATAACAGACTGGAGATTTCAGGCAAAACCCCTTAACCTTGCAACACCTTATTTATCTCATGAGTGAAAAACTTTCAGGGGCTGTAACTGAGCCAGCTCCAGAATCTCATGAAATCTGGGCATTGGTGGGTGAAATTCTGATGATTTAGGGGAAGTATGAAAAAAAAAAAAGAAATAAAATGGACTTTACACAAGACACACAGCTAGATAAAACAGCTGCAGATTCCAGCACAAGGATGGGAATCATCACCCAAATGACCTCATAAAAGTAGTACCAACTGTACTGTGAGATCAGCAATGGCTCTGCAAGTGGCTCTGATTCACTGCCAATAAAAGGGTTGGAGCAATTTTCCAAATAACACAGAGCAAACAAATCCTGCAATATTTGTTTGTTCCCATCTTTCCTTAGTTAGCAATCAGACTACATTTAGAAGATATTACAATTGGCTTTGGGATAAAAGAAATTCTGATTGCTCTTCCCTGCTATTCTCCACACTGCTGGGATGCACATCTGGCAGTTGGATGAGTTTTGGAGAGGTTTTGTTATTTCCACTACAACTGCTTTAAGAGCACATTCCAATGGGGAAATCTGATTCCTAGAACCCACAAACCACCACTACACATAACCTCTCCTCAGTTCCTTCGTCAGGAATTGTTGTTATTTTCTGCCACTCGATTAAATCTGAGAGAGTTGACTTTCATAACATTATCTGTCAATATTTGCCACCTGTCAGGGGAACTGTCCTTGAATTCTCACATGAAAACTGCATGGTTTTGTTGACAAACTGGAAAAGGAAACTATTAAGTCAGCTGCTTCCTCAGCAATATAAAGATCGAGCTTTGCAAAGGAGATATATATATATATATATATGTGTGTGTGTGTGTGTGTGTGTAAACTAAGGAAGGAATCAGCATTGAAATACAGTGAGCACTAATTGTTTTTTTTTCTAACCAATTGTTTTTATTCTGACAAAGCATCTTTTTAGCAGTTCTATGTTAACCTTTTCAGTCTGGATTGACAGCTCACAGATCTTTCTTTGCTGAGTGACAACAAAGCAGCAAGCCAGGCTTATTCCCACGTTATTTCCATTCCATCCCTTGGAAAGTTTAATTTTTTATCCTCTCTGAACCATCTCCTGTGAACTGACAGGGGTTAAGTGGCTTGTTCCTCCAGCACACCCTCAGGAGAAGTGCTGGGACAATTCCTCGGGAACAATCCCTGGCTGTGAAGTCTCTCCCACACACCTGGGGAGAGCCTGAGGCTGTGCCTGGATCCAGCTGTGCTTGGATCCAGCTGTGCAGGACGCTGAGGATTCCTCAGGCTCAGGAGGGAGCACAGGCAGCTCCATCACCACTCAGCTGTCTCCAGCTTATCTCAGGGCTGCTGATCTCATCAGAGCTCTCCCTCAGGGCAAAAGGGCAGTGACCCTGTGAAAGTCACATCAGCAGGGAATCAGTTCATGGGCAATCATTTCACCCACAGATTTCACCCACATTTCAAACTACAGGTTCAAAACAGCCACCTGCAAGGGTTTATGGATAACAAGAGCCTGCAGGCACCAATCCTTCCCAATGTTTCCATGGCTGTTCTCCCCCAGGCAGAGGGATATCCTTGACTTGTTGGCACCAGCACAAACCTCAAAATACTTTGTTCAACTGCCCCCAGAGGAAAAACCACAGCTCTCACTTTGGCATCTGCATTTCCTCCTTCCCTTCCCCATTCCACCATGGAAAACTTATAAAATTGCAGGGCATGAAGGCAGAAGTGCTGCTGCCAGATTGGCTTCGCTCCCCATAACATGTTTCAGCCATGTGGATTTTCTGGGCTTATTTGAAGGAAAGGAAAAAAAACCACAGTGCTATTGTATAAAGTGTACAGGGAAATATCTGGGCAAGAACTGGGGAGATAAGCACAGGCTGGACAATACTTTTAAAATACTGAAACCAACAAAAACTGGCTTGGAACCAGCTTTGAGTTTATCAAGCTCAATCCTCATCAGTGCTACCACCAGCAACAAAAATGTCAGTTAAACTCTGGAGAAAAAGTTAATTCTCCTTGGTTGATATCATACTCATAGATAGCACAGAGGAAACAGAAGAACTGGTGTTAAAGTCATAAGTAGAAAAATCTTGAAGGACTAAAATTGCTGACCTTTTGGGGGAGGAAAAAGCCCCCAAAACAACCCATGCATTACTCATAATGAAAATATTGTGCATAGCACAGCTTTCCAAGAGATCTGGCTCTGTGTCAGAGCCACCAGGGAGTACAAGAACTCTTTGCTTGCCTTCACTCCAGTGACAGCACAAAGTGGAGAGTGTGCATGAGACCCCAAAAGGGTCCCTGGAGGATCATCTGCTCCAGCCCCCTGCCCAAAGGAGGATCAGCTCCACCAGTGCCATTTCTGACATTTCTGTGCCCATTTCTGACATTTCTGTGCCCATTTCTGCAGCAGGTCTGTGAAGGACACACCCCACCCTCACTGCAGCTCACCAACATCTTCCCATTCCATCAGCTCCACGCACCTCTTTAAAAAAAGAAACCAGAAGTGTCCCAGTCACTTTAGAAAGTGTTTATTCAAAAGCTTCATAGCACCATCTTGTTTTTTAAAACAACCAAATAAAATGCAGCAATTAAAACGTTGGTTTTTCTGTTGAGCATGACACTAACTCCACCTGTGAACATATTTATGGTTGTTCTTGCTAAAATAACTGAAAAATAGCGCTCCTGTGCACACAGACATAGCACTGGCCCCTGGGGGGGTTATCCAGTCCCAGCTCAATAATGGAAGAATAAAACCAAGTGGAACTGGATACCTTAAGGAAACCATTCCCCTTCCCCAATTCTGCTGGAAGAGAAAATTTTCTAAAGGTCATTTTTAGCAGTTTCAATTCATATGTCCCCTCAAAACTTGAGCAAAACTAAAACTGTAAATATATAAAATTTATTTGAGGAGCTCTTTTATAGGACAAGCCAGACCATAATTTGTTAATTATCTCAATATGTTTGCTCTAGCAATCACCTAACTATTAATTCTAAAGGGCCTTTAATACCCATTTTTTCTAGGGAAAGCATCAGTCAAGATAATTTTACTACATTACTACGCTGATTCGCATTAAAAATTTAAGGTAAAATCAAACTGCCATTGACAGCACTTATCATCTGCTTTCATTCTGAGGTTTGTTTTCCTTTTCCCTTTTGAGTTGTGGAGCAGCCTGTCTGAGAGCTGGCACCAGTGAAGCGCTATTTCCCAAGGATCCCTAACTTACATTTCAGGAACAGGGACCAGGCCGAGGGCTCGGTCTCGTTATCGTTTGGCTATGGCTTCCAACTGCTGGAATTCTCTATTGCAGCTACTTCTGATGGCCATGGGGAGGCAAATGCTCCGTGCTTCACTTGGCCAAAGCCCCCATGGGGTCCCAGGCTGGCAGCACGATGGGCTCCTGCTGCATCACGGCCAGGATCTCCTCGGGCACGTGCTTCTTGTCCACCACCACCTC